CTTAGCAGCGTCTGGTTGTAATTCCTTGCTACAATGGACCATATAGTACAATATAGTAATAAGGCAAAAAAGTACATTGAAAATTTCACTTCATCGTAAATTTCGTCAATCTAATCTCGCCTATTACAGCCGTCCTGGAAAAGAAAAAAGAATATGTAAGTGCGTGTCAAAATACACTCGTACTCACGTAAAAACACAAAGCGGCCGAAAATAGAAAAATAAACTCATGTACATGCGATGACGTAAAAATGAATTTTAAAGAATTTCTTTGGTGTATTTTAAGAAAAAAATTAAATATACACGTATCAGCAAAAAAATTTGTTTCTTTTGTCAATAAATATATAAATATAAACATATTAAACTTTTTACTACATACAATAAAAAGGATAATCGGGGTGAAACAAAATGTTAACAGGTATCTTACGCGCAATAATCATTGAAATGTTATGAAAATCTTACTCTTCTTCCAGAACGCTCTGTTTTAACTTTATTTTCATATACTGTCAATGTATCATCGTGCGTATTGGCTGTCGGATGAAGTATCATGGGTGTAGAATTCGTGTCTTTCGACTGTACCGAAGGAAAATCGACGTCGATAGGATTTCCTTCTAAATACTCTGCTTTGAGGCAATCGATGCTGATGCTATCATTGGTTCCGTTCTTATCGATTATACAGTACTTAGAACTTTGAAGGGTCCTTCGTACGCTTATTCGAAAGGTCGTTGATAGAAGTCTTGACGTACAAAGACTTGTGTACTTAATCGTAAGTCAGATTGAACGAAAACATCAGTTGATTGCGGTCGGGTGGAAACAGGTTTAACTGAAGGCATTGCGTTTGTAAGCCTGTTCGTGTAGAAGGTCAGATCCATGTTAATTGGAGAGGATGAAGGACCTAAGAATTCTCCCGGAAGTAGAAGTGTTGTTCCGTAAATCAGGTGGGTTGTAGTGTATCCAATGTCAGCTTTCACTGCATTGCGAATATCTCGTAAGACGAGTGGAAGAGCGTCGGTCCACTGTGAAAAGTTTGCAGCTGATAGTGAAGCCTTTAGTTGTCGGTGAAACGTTGAATGGATGGAAGGCGGTCGTTCGTAAGCGAGTGATTCCTAGTAGTGTGATCAGATAACGGAAAAGTTCAGGTTCTAGATGGTGTCCGCCATCTGTAGTAATGGTTGAAGGGCAGCCGAAGTTTGCTACCCATCTTTCGACGAAGGTGCGGGTCACTGTTTCAGCAGTGATGTCCTTGATAGGTACTGCTTCTGGCCATCGAGTGAAACGGTCTACGCAGGTTAAGAGGTAAGAGTATCCATTTGAATCTGGTAAAGGTCCTACCAAATCCAGATGAACATGGTCAAAACGAGCATCGGGAGTTTTAAATGAGCCTGAGGGACATTTATTGTGTCTGATAACCTTAGATTTTTGGCAGCTTACACAGGAGCGTGCTCACTCCTTCACGTCTTTATTCATGCCAGGCCAGCAAAACCGTTCTACTATAAGCTTGATGGCTGCACGAACACCTTGATGAGAAAGTTTGTGCAACGTATTGAAGACGTTGCTTCGATAATGTTTCGGGCAACGATTGAACGATCCCTACCTGTAGATGTGTCACATAGTAAGGTTTCCTTACCTGTTCTCATCTGTTTGATGCGTAGTTTGAGGGTTGTAGACGATAACTCGTGCTGAAGATCAGTGTCTTCTTTTTGAAGCTCAGCAAATTTGAGGAGGTCGATTCCTTGGAAACTGTTCAAGGAGGTTATGCGAGATAAGGCGTCTGCAACTACATTGTTTGCTCCAGAGATGTGTTGAATGTCTGAAGTAAACTGCGAAATGTAGTCCAGTTGTCGAGACTCACGGGGAGAGTACTTGTCTGAAGAAGAGCTCAGAGAGTATGTGAGCGGTCTATGGTCGGTGAAAAGAGTGAATTTACGACCTTCGAGGTAGTGCTGAAAATACCGTACAGCACAATACATAGCTAGGAGTTCCCTACCGAAAGTGCTGTGCCCCGATTCAGTGTCTACCAACCGTCTCGAGAAGAATGCCAAAGGATGACAGGAGTGGTTGACACATTATTGTAAGACTCCTCCGATCGCTGAGTTGGATGCGTCTACTGCGATACTAATGGGTACTCGGGTGTCCTGAATTGCAAGCATTGTTGCTTGAGCGATAAGTTCCTCAACTGTGGAGAATGCTTCATGCGCAGTGTCATCCAGCTTGATGGAATTCGCATTTCTACGAAGTTGGTCGGTTAATGGTTTCATGAGTAACGCGCATTTCGGTATGAATCGTCTATAGAAACTTACAAGGCTGTTAAACTTGCGCAATTGCTTGACGGTGGTCGGTTCTGGGCAACCCAGAATGACCGCCACTTTGGTTTTAAGGGGTCGAATGCCTTGCGCATCAATAGTGTTTCCTAGGAAGTCTGATGAGTCAGTTCCGATTTGGCATTTCTGAATGTTTACAGTAATGCCATGTTTTTGTAGTCGTTCGAAAACAAGATCCAGATGCTTGAGATGCGATTCTCTGTCCGGACTTGCTACTAGGCAGTCATGAACATACACATGTAAGAAGTTGAGACCTCGAAAAAAGTCGTCTATGAACCTTTGGAATGTTTGAGCAGCATTTTTTAGACCAAAGGGTATTCACGAAAATTCCTGGAGTCCTAAGAGAGTTATGATAGAGGTGTTTGGAATGTCGTCAGTAGCCACAGGGGTTTGGTTATAAGATTTAACCAAGTCGATTTTCAAAAAGATAGTTGTACCTTTCAAGGTAGCTGTAAGTCGTGAATATGATGCAACGAGTAACGATCGGAAATGATTTTTGCATTCAATCGCTGATAGACACGAGTTGGGTGGCAATCGTTGCTGCCCTTTGTTGGGACCATGTGCAGCGAAAATGTCCATGGGGTGTTTGATGGTCGTATGATTCCCAACTCTGTCATGTGGTTGAATTCGCTTTTGGCCAACCTTGGCTTTCTGGGGGCTAGTCGACGTGTTTTGGAGAATACAGGTGGTCCTGTAGTCGTGATGTGATGTGTAACATTGCTAATTACACACGGTAATTTCGGTTGCGTTTGGTATATCCCAGAATACTTATTGAGTAGTGGTTGATAGAATGGGTCTATCGTGTGCCTAAGTGTGACGAGAGATAATCTGCAACTAGAAGAAGAAGTTACGCAAACAGATAAATTGGTGTATCCGTGTACTAGCCTTCGTTTGCGCGTATCAATGAGAAGATTATGATGTTGTAAGAGGTCTATAGCAATGATTAGCATAGAAACATCTGCAACAACGAAGATCCAATAAATGGGCTTGCGAAAACGCATGCTAAGGTAAACGTACCTTTTACCGTATGTGGCGATAGGATTTCCGTTTGCCACTTGTAAGTTTAAAAATGATTCGCGAAGCCGGTCGTTAGAACTTTCAGGAAGAACTCTGACTTCTGCGCCAGTACCGACGAGGTGGCGAACTTTCGTTTTCACGTCTGTGAGGTATAACAGACGACTATGTGTCGCCGGCTACGGCTTGGAAGTTTCTCCATTTGTTTATCGTGTCGGTTGGTTTTCGATTCTGAAAATTGGAGTTTTTTTCAATCTCTAGAAGATTTCCTATACTGGTTATGATACCAGCACCGATCGGGGTTATCCGTCTCCCGTGGTTAAGAGACAGATTTCCTACATGAAGTGTTTCTTCGCGTGGTATGTGACCGTTTACGGTCGTTACGAAATCGCAGGTAACGTGTCAGTGAATGACACAGTTCCATAATGTCCTTCTGTGTCGCTTGAGGTTTTCCTTTGACTGAAAAAACCTTGACGTTGGAAGATTTGGTGGTGCAGCCAGCTCATCTAAGGCGTTGTTTTGAAACGAGACCAGCACAACTTGCACCTGCTGAGGTATTATGGATAAGCAAAGTTGTTTGAGTAGGCCATCATCGAAGGTTCTTGGGTCGATAACCTCTCTCATTCGCTGCAACATGTCCGCCGCAGAACCGTGTTGCAGGTCGATGTTACTAAGTAGTTGGTCTAACCTTTGTCTATCAGTTAGGTCTCCGCATTTAAGAATAGAACATTTCAGTGTTTAATAAGGTTCCGAAACATCACTAGTAAACATACTAGGTGCTACGTACCTAGTGAATTCGCGTGGTAGTGTCTTGACTACTGCGAGGAGTTGTGGACGTGTGTCGTTCACGCCGTGGTCGTGGAAGTTGACTTCTTCGTAGCGGAATCAAGCTTCGATGTTTTTCGGCAAGAAGGGAATCAGATGGAACGAAAGTGGGGACATAGTTTTTAACTAAAGTGCCTTGAGTGTCTGTTCAGTCATGGTGAAATATCAAGTGCGAGAACGGACGAGGAAGAAAAAATATATAAATATGTCCAAAAACACGGAAGAAATATCACAATATATAAAAAACGAAATAAAGCAACAATATACAGAATTCCAGGGTAGGACAGACCCACACTTTACAGTTTGGTGCACCAGTTCACGTCGAGCTGACCAATGAAGATGTCAAAGGTATTTGAAGTTCGACAATACTTTAACCAGTAACACCTAATATGAATCGTACCCACCAAGTGAAATCAAAAGACGGAAGCGAGGAGGTTCAAAGATATATTTGATACGCTATCAGTATATCGAGGATCGACTGATCTAATCTGACTAGCGATTGCAGGGGATGTTGGGCACGGCGTCACCACTCGTGATCTGGTTTGGATGCATGACCGAGCGCCTTCAGTTAGGTGGGCCCATTACAGCTAATGTGGCCAGCATCCAATGTCGAAGACTTACAGATTTACTTAGTTTGGGGATTTATCTAACGCCACATCAACGATTGTAGTCTTTCTATACTTACTTTACAAATCTGAATTTGAATCTCAAAACATTTAAAACAAATAGTTTACACCATATGATATTCGTCAAAATCGTATTTCATTCGAAGTGAAGCATACATGAGAAAATACCAATAAATTGGTTTCTAGAAATTGAGTCGTTGCGTCATACTTCGTCCTCATATTCCTGGCGGTCTTTCAATGGGATGTCTACGGTGAAGGCTGTCAAAACTAAAAAGGGTAAAATCGAGATAGATGTTGAGCGATACCGTTCTGAGGGCTTTTGGAGTAAGGCCTTAGAAGTAATCCTATCTCATGGATCCGACCGCTCCACGTCTCTTCGTAGGAAAATTTTAAAAAATTATATATTTTGCTTGTAATAGATATGTTAAATCAGTTAATACTTTGTGAGAATGAACTAGAATGGAACGATCAAGGTGAATTACCACCAGAAAATTTGTCCAAGGCTAAGAGGTATGCGGAAGAAGTTATGAATGGAAATGACGAGCAATATAAATTTGAGGCATCTGTCCTTCTTGGGAAAATATACTATCTACAGGGGAATAGTGAAAAAGCTCTTAAGATTTTAAGTTCCCTCAATTTGTTATCTGCTAAAATGGACCCTATTACACTGCGTTTCAATTACATCGTTAGTGAGGGTTTGGCTGTATTGGGTATGCTTCTTTTACTTAACTAGGTTTGACTTCACAGGTTTGTGCAAAGAAGAACAGTCAAAGCTAAAAAGCCTATCTGACATATCAAAAGAGAGAGACAATATCATTAATTTATTCAACCTAGCTTGTCACATGTGCATAAAACATCTTCAGGAATTAGATCGAACTCAACCAGAGCATACCAATTCATCTGTCAGTCTACCACCGATTGTAGAAAAAGTCATACAAAAGATTCCGGAAATTCTGATTAAAAAGGGGTAAAGAAGTATTTTTGTTTTGCCTTCTAAGTCCTTTGGTATATGATATGTTTGTGTTTACCGAACAAAGCAATTGATGTTTGCCATTTTCAGAACGATATGTTAATAATATTTTGTATCACTCTTAAGTATTACTGGGTGTAGTCAACCAATTTTTAAGTGCTGTTTCGATTTGCGGCAACTCTCAACAGCCCTGTTTTGTATGAAGTTATGATTAGTTGTAGATTTGTATCTAATTTGGTGATATGTCATAAGAGGTGTCGGAAAATATTCTTGTGGAAATCTATAAAAAACAGGAAAAGGTTCAGACTGATGGGCTAGAAAACATTCAGAATTTCAGTCAAGCATTGTAATTTTATCTTCTGAAATACAAACATTTAAGGGAGCTAGGCTATTGCCTAAATTTCACGTCCTATATAACAGCCAAATAAGCAAAACATCATAATTAGTGCACTTTTATGGAAAGTGCAAAATTTTTGAGGTAATGACAATATAGTTTATCCACTTAACAATACACAAAGCAAGTACTTGTAAGCCGTCTATGTATATTTTAAGTTGCTGACATTTTCCTTCTGGTAAATCGGATTCGAGAGTGCTATGATGCATCATTTGGCGGTTACCACTTATAATGTCACTAATAACTATTGTATCTTGATCCTTGATCTTCTATCTTAAAATAGACAATGGTTCAGTATATCCGCTTTATGTGTCTACTGTAGTGTATGCCGTCGTTTATATTGCTTATTCGTTTTACAGTGCTCTTATACCATAAAGACTTTTTTCTTTATTATCACGTTCTACAGATTTTGTTCTACATTTCCGATAACCTTTTCCTAGCTTTATACTCTGATGTAGTATACTACACCGTAGACTGTTCCTTACAAGCATCACTTCGTCACACTTGTAACGAGGCCCCCAAATGTCCTGGTACGACCGAGAGTGGGAAGAGTCCGCTCTCCCTCTCAAAATGCTCTCACATGGCCACGCGTATATAGCCTCTGCCAGGGAAGTCCTACTCACTGCTTTCTCGTGGCGGGGGTGTTGTTTACGGAATTGAGAGGACGAAAAGCGAACATCCGGCGCTTTAACCGGGTTGGTGGACATGGAGAGTCCACTTAGGTGAGTTGGGAAACCCTGATTCCAAACCAATGGTGCACATGGGCTCCAGTATCCTGAGTGAACAAAAGGCGTATGAACCAATCGTTGGTCACCGGCTACTATGAGACTGCATCTCCTTACGTGCTACACTTCCTTTTGGATCAGACCTTCAGGTCAAAGGCTGCGGGTGTGACCTCCTAAGAAAACCACCTGCTTCGGTTCGGGCACCTGGGCAGTATCACAGCCCACACATATCAAATGAGATCTGTGACGCATATGTATTTGGTGCCTCGTACTAATATCTATGTGTTAAAATAAAATAAATAATAATAACTTGTAACGAGCAATGTAATTTAGTAATACCGGGTCAGCATTTCGTAATAATGTTTGGATTAAGTATACTATTTAAAGAGCTGTCATGGTATAACTCAGAAAGGAGGTTTGCCAGTTTACTGTTTTGCATTCAAATAAACAACAATATTTTTAAAATTGATTATTAAGATTTCTCATTAACACCCATCTTTAGCAAATCTAACAACAGTAGCAACTAATTCTGCATTGCGAATTCGTAAGTCAAGCACGCACAGAGTATATCTGAAACCCATCCTTAGTGTTTATGACTTACGAATATCGTAAACTTTCCCACCTACGTCCTCAATAAAATCTCCAGCTGGTTATTCATTCATTAGTTGGCGCTGGTTGTCTGTACCACTCGGATCTTTCTGTGATGCCTCACTACAGGCATTCAAGCATTGAGTAGTGTGACCTTTTAAAATCAGGAGCAGGACCTCTATTGAAGGGCTTAGATGCTACTCCAGTTTAAATTAGGTCCTCATATAGTACTAATAAATCAAACTAATTATTTTGTCAGTTGTACGCGACGTAAAGCCTGGCCGATATGGCCATTATTTCAGATTACCGTTCCCCATTAGCATCTGGCTTGACATCATGCTTCGTATTTCAGTAACATATATAATAGAAAAATTGTTCTAAAAAAATTAAGGTAGATATTGTTCTTGTGTGATTTGTAATGGCAGAGTAATTCTTGGGTTTGTTTTATTAAGATCCGGATTCCGGACTCTCAAAAGAGGAAGATGGTTAACATTTGGCCGTATAAAATAAAAATATATTTGATATTTGCGATCTCGATTGACACAACTGTTTTGCCTCTAAATTTTTATTTTCTCCAAGTGACATACCTGGTGCTATTTCGAAGTATCGAACTATTCTTGGGTATTGTGAGTTGCCTGCTACCAGGTCTCTTAGACGAGCTTTATCCTTACGGTTTTCTGAACTGCTGTTACGGAGTGTATGCATAAAGACATATCACAAGTATAATACATCGATGGATCAAGATTCCTCAACAGATAAGGTTTGCTATTAATTTAAACCACTCATTTTTATTTTGATTCAACAAATGTTTCCTTCTGTACTTTCATTGTTTTAGAGGAACAAATTTTCCACTTGATTTATACTAAATATACATACCTTCAGTTTTCAAACACATGCAAGAAAGGGTATGGAATGTCTTTTCGAGGTCCAGGTGTTTAGGACTAATCAACCTAAAATATCAATCATTTTAAATCATTCAAATCTTAAACAGCTGTCGTAGAGGCTCTTTTTTCAAAGTCAGTCAAACAATCTTATTATTGATACTTGGTCTCCATAAATGCTACTGGTACTTAGTGTAGGAAGTTTAGTTACCGCAGCAAATTCATATGTCTATCCAATTCATTACATAACCTAGTTCAAAAATTACGAAGTAATAATTTGCAGTACACGAGCATAAAAGTGTTTATATGCTTACGTATCTATAACCCCTGACTCGCTTAAAAACCTGTACGTAGTCGCTGACAAACAGTTCTCTTATATTGCCACATTCCGTCTCGAAAGAGGTAAAGCCATTAAAAAAGACACCTTATTTTCCCAATTGTAAACGAAAATCATGGGCAGTAACTATCTGTACCGTAATATCTTTACTTGCCAGTATAACGGTTATATCATTCAATACTGCTTAGTATGAGTTCTATGACCAAAGTATATTTATACTTTTCACAATCCCTCCTTCAATTAATAAACGAGAAGTTACGAAATAAACCAGTCTTTGTTTCGTCTGATATATTTACTACATATTCAAATGGTCATTTCAAGATTACAAAACAACACTCAGTAGATTTGTCGTCACAGAAACCATGGTCGCTTTGTTAATCAACGTGCCCGTTGGCTAAATTATTTCCCAACTAAGAGTCAGTTGAAAAGTATCCTTTATTTAGTTTGCCTAGATTTTTATGAAATATAAGACTATATTCTGAATAAAAGCGGCATAGTTGAACGTAATTTACAAATTTATGTTGTATATTGTCAGTCGTAAAACTTAACAAATGAATTCACTGGTTGATAATGTGGTGTGTGTGGCGGGGGCTAATGTCCAAGGCGTTTAATTTCTATTCACTAAGTCCCAGTCTTGAACACCTCTCTACCTACTTCGGTTTGATCAACCTGGTAGTATCGCTAGCCAATCATACATAAAGTATGATTCGAACCCAAAATACCGTATAAATCAGTTAATTAATTCGTTTTTATTTGATGTGATGATTTGTTAAGTTACCGTATATTTCCATGTTATCTACATTTTGAGTTTAATATGTTAAACGTAGTTTGGTGATGAAGTATTTTTATCTTAAGTCTTGTCCTAGGTACATAGTATGAATTATCATACTTTATTCAGCATTATTCCAGTTCAAAGCTTATTTCACCATGTTTTTTTTATTCACGCTGTAATTCATGATTGAACAGTTCACAGGAAATTACTTGTATTTTGTAGTATTCTACTGTTTTGTTTTCATCATATATTTTCTTTGATATTAGGATGCACAACTAATTCCATACCGATATCCTACAAATAGATACATTCCAGACAATCGAATAGAAGAAGCCATTTTTTCGTTAATGATTTCCGAACACATAGTAAGTTTTACTATAAATGTATATTCATGTTGTAAGCTTTGATATTTCAATACTGATAAGAAAGATGATAAAGAATATATATATATATATATATATATATATATATATATATATATATATATATATATATATATATATATGAAGTATATGAAGTATTAACTAAGTAACTTTCGCCTCCACATATCACTTTCACACAATTGGATTGTCCGATGTTTTCAGCAGAGTTATCTTAGTATATTGTCAGGAAATTTTTTTGTAATACCTCTGAAATATTAATTTAAATTGTTGAAGGTTCTGCAGTCGACGGATTTCGATGTCAACGCTGTCACTGTAGTCTTGATCGCAATGGCAATTGGAATATTTACTCTAATGTTACTCTTAGTTTCAATCGATCCTCCAAAGTTTCTTGAGAAAGGAAAAGCATTTCGATTTGATATGATATTTATTGTCGAATTCAGATTTCAAATTCAGATTTCCCAGTTAGTGCATGATTCATCCAACAGGGAACTGATAAATAAATTGTTCTATATTCTGTGGTTTATCTTATCTTTTATTTTACTGTACATTTTTTGGTTGTCTATTTTGCATATGTCCTGAGATGAGTAAAATTTATTACATAATGTATTTTTATACCAGATTTCCGTTTAAGCTGAAATTTTCTTTATTCAAATCAAAAGTTTTATCTTACCTACTACTTTCAACTTAAAAATATTAAAAAGCTATTATTGTCAACTCGTAATAGTTGTGTAACACCACTCATCTTTAACTGAACATCATATAATATTGTAAAAAAAACTAACTATGGAAGTTTTATCATTTATAATTAAAGTGTTCTCAAACTGTCTGGTCGTTAAAGCTGTTCATAGTATTATTGAGGTGTCACAGGGATACTCACTAATGTCATACTCTTATTTTCACCAATTAATTACAATCAGTTTCTAAATATACGACTCCGATATCTTAAAGACAAGATAAACAATCACTTTGGGCTGTTGTTTAATCATGTTTATTTTCATGTGTATAAATTTGTAGGCCAGTCAAGATGTTATACTTAATCGACCGTCAGAATTATCTGAACCACAAATAGTTCGATCATTTAACAATGCAGCTGCTGTCTACGACTTACTTGCCATACTTCTTACTAAAGTTAAGCATTTCAAATTTCTTTCTAAAGTGAGTTATTTTGAACTGTTATGCTTTCTTGGAGAAAAAAAGCTCAATATGTATGTGATGCGCGTAATCATTGAAAATTGAAGTTGCTTGTGCATACTTATTCACTATATAGCTATAATAATTAAATAAAGTTTTAACGTCATCTGAATTTAAATGATTAGTCACTAACTTTTGTTTAGTGATCTACGGAGGCAAATCAACACATCATAATACATGGCTTGATAGCTTATTTGTTCGTATCGCACTTCGAAGAGATTTTGCAATAATAAACTGTCAAAATCTGTACAATGATAATATTTACTGTACATTTGCTCCACTATACCTTTTTTCATCAAATACGCAACCTTTGGTCGTCGATTTCAACTATCACAAACTCTAACCACGAAATCAATATTGTTTTACTACTTCAGACCAATACTTTGTTAGTCACTTCACGTTTTCTAATGGTCTGTCTGTTAAGTTACCAGACACTACTGCTAATCATCAGTTCCCGATTTCGATCCGAAATCATGACATTCTGTGTTTAATTGTTGCATAAGTGAGGGATATTCGCTTGTTCTTAACTGGAATCAATCGCAATCCAGGTCAATTAAGCTTTAGCTAACTTGATGAATTCACAAAATCCAACATCATACTGGTATTATAATCCGAGTTAAATGTGGAATAATATCGTGATCAGACAGAAAAGTCTTTATTGATGTTTGAAAGCCCAATATGTAGACTGATCAGCGAGCATTTTCGCATCTATAATTGTCATTTTCATCGTTTCCATGATTAGAATCTTTGGTTTTATTTGTTATCTTTCTCAAATCCCACGTATCTTTTTATCACGAACAGGATGCTATAAGACAAAATTATGCCTTGTATTCAATTATAATAGTCAATATTTATAAATTTCACTGCCATTCGCACTCCGTGTTTTTGAAGTTATTGTATACGCACTAGATAACGAATTAAGATAGACAAATACAACAGTTTTAAAGTAAGTGATTACGATAACTACCATTAGTCAGCGAAAAGGTTATATAAATTAAACGGGTTAGTCCAACTTAGCAATTTAAAGAGTAGCCTAATGGTTAATCACTCAGTAAGTCACTGATACAAAGCACGCTTCTGTATAGTTTGTAATAAAAGGACATAGGGAGTTTGTTGGACTAATGAAGGAAATACACCGATCGATTGATAATATGCAATGATATAGTGAGGCCGAGTGATAGTTTCTCACGAGATCGAATTATTAACATGAGCCCTCAAATGAACTGATATAAAAAGTAAAAACCTCCGGCCAATAGAATAAGTTATTTTGGAAAATAAATATTCTTATATACAAACTGTCAAACACAAAAATAAATATGATTAGTAGTAGTTTAACAACTAAATAATTGGGGGGTATGAAAACCATATATTATTCACTCTTCAACAGAATCCCTAATTACCGAGGCTTAATTCTTTCCCTTTCATATCAACCTTAACCAACCACTGGGTAATAACAAATGTCATAATATCTAGTTCCTTTAGCCTCCTAATTGTATTCTGATGATCAACTTGTCAGGTGAGATTAAATCAATTAATATGCGGCTAGAAACCCCTGAGTTATTGGTTTATAGCTTTCTGCTAGTTGACTCAAATCATAAAATTTCGAAAAAGGATGTAATTTGTGTTTGTGTTAGGGCTGCATCTAACATGATGAAAGGTCTAAAGTAAGTTGCCGAATAACGATTAATCCAAAGTTTCTCAGCCTTCATTGTTGAGTGAATTCTAGTATATGTGTATTGTTTCTAACTGTGATTTTTACTAGTGTACCTTAATCTCCTAACAAAAGGGTTGGAGATAACTAAACATAGTTTCATATAGCTCTCCAACGACCAGCATTGACTATTCAAAATATATTTAGTGAATTGATATCATGCCAATGATTGTAATTTCAACAATAATTACTCCATAAATAATTATAGTCATATTTCACAATTTTCTTTTCATTTTTACATTTATGATTATATGTAGTGCCTTGAAAAAGCACTCAAGTTTTCTTATCATCAATTTCATATCTGGTATCAATTCGCTTTATCACTTATCAGTTCTAAACAAGTATGTTCTTATCTCCTTTATTATCATCTGTGATTAACAGTCATTTATGTGTAATTATTATCGTTTTTATGCATATTAAATTTGTTTTTAAATTTGCTGACGTTATTACATTTTGTTAATAATATAATTTTGAATGCCTTGTATACTTTTCCTGTTATCATATTTTGCTTGGATTGGAAACTGTCTTTATGGACTAAGAAAAAAGTATAGATCAAAGAATATATTGAATAACGTACAGTGGCAATAATTTGACTTAGTAGTTAATGAACCTCAATTTTAGCTGTTGGGTTACTAGTTTGTAACCCATTATACATATTTTGGATACCTCAAACAGCTGACGAGTAATATTTACGCCTACATGTCGAATGTAACTCAATGCCGAGCACTACACATTTATGAAATTGTTTACTAAATTAGTAACATAAAACATATTTGAAGAACTTTTATCGTAATTAGAAACTCAGGAAATATCAAACTATTTACTCATAACTAAATTGATCCTGAGATTATCATATTTCATGATAAACACTTTAGAATTCAACTATTTGATTAAGATCTATGTTATCAGAATTCCGTTCTAACTATATTTCACAAGTAGATCGGGTTCAAACCCGTATATTCTGATTGGATCATGGTCCGTCTTCCAACCAGTCATTATCTGACGACTAATTGAAGATTGCAGAAAATTCTTATTTAGATTCTACATAACCCCCAGTGTTTCTTACTATTATATCTTTGTTGTTTGGATTTATTGCAACATGCAGACAGTGGCTTGACATGAACAACATATCTGTCAGCCATCGCTTACGTCCACCTTCTATGCTAACTAGCAAAAATTGTAGACAACTGGTTGTAACTAAATAAAGAAATGTTGTCAGTTCATGAACCTATGGACAATCGAACTGAGTCGCTCCAGAAATCGTCGACCTTCTGGTTGTAGTCCACGAGGTTATCATAACTTACGTTTAAAAGACTTGACTAACACTATGATTCCCATTCGATAATAGTAGCACAAATCCATTGGTTCTGTCTATTTTATATCTTTAACTTCGTGTTATTCCTTACTTTCGGCGGTCCTTTCCGACCTATATTTTCTATGCTTAGTTTCCAATACGATTGATATGATTATTTCCTCTGTTCTGTTTTTCATTTTGATGAGTTTACCACAATATACTCTTGTGGGTTGGTTTAAACTGGACCGACAATTGTACAACCTTGTGTACGATTGACTTGAAAAATTTTTTGTTAAAATTCATCAAAAAGTTATATTATTTTTAAAAATGGATAAAAATCATTTTGTATCTGTTATAAATTGTGACCGCCAATTAGGGAGCAGCGAATTATCGATCGGACCAAGGACGCGTAAAACACGTGCGAGCAGCCTAGAGTCCTGATTGGTCCTGCTTCCCGTCTAGCCCAGCCAGTTAAGTCCAGAACACCAATCCGAGCCTCTGCGATATAAATCATTATATTTAAAGCATACTATGTTTATATACCAATCAAGCAGACCACAACGTACCACTAAAATATGAAATAACATTTGTACAAGAATTAGCCAGATGTGACTGTGAATGAGGGAGGTAGTAGTTAATATACTGGGTATAACTCAAGAATGGTAAAACATATAATAATAGTTTATGGGTCAACATAAAGCTTATAATAAGAGGAATATGAATATGCATAGTTTAGTTACTTAATTATACAGTAGAAATATACGTTTAGTACTGGTCCATCAATAGATTCCAAAAGTTACCATTCATTATTCTTGTTGGGACATAACAGTATCCTATTCGTAAATGCCTCAAATTTCGTATCTGTTTGTTTTGGAAATTATAAACACATTATTATCAGGCTATATACTAAACTGCGCTTTGAAAATGTATTATTAATAGGTGCTTTTAATGCGTAACCCTCCTAATTATAAAGTAAAGAGGAAGACAAACTAAATATGAAACTTCTCATTTCAACCATATCACTTACATCTCATGTGTATATTTGTATAAGTGGTCTGAATAGTCTTGATAGCGAGCGTAAAAATTATAACATTTGAGAAGTTAGATTATACAGTAATTCAATAAGACATGTTCACTTTTATATTCAACGTTATCATACTTTCTTGATAGGCTGTGTAACCTAACAAATCCAGTTTACTTTACTCTGTGTATTATGACCATCAGTCAGTAACAACGTAAAACTTCGTACGTACGTACATCAGTTCGAGTTGCCATAAATACATTAGCACAGAGATGGAGTTGTCGATTCAAATCCCGTAGTTGTAGAGGTAGTAGTAGCAGTAATCGGAAAGACTAGGGTTTGAAGATGTTATACAAGGAGTATAATCCAGTAAAATAAATTTGGAAAGAGAAAAAAGAAAGGGACATGAAGAATTCAGAAGATTAGAATTTGGGAGAACACAAACAGTGGATAGACCTGCGCCATTGCAAACGATTTTGAGCCATGTGATTCAAGGTCTCTAACCATCATGACCATACCTACCCCCAGACAATATAAGAAACCCTCATATGACACATCTTTTAAATAACTTTGTTATACCAAAATACTTCATATTTTATAAATAAGTAACAAAACCTTAATTATCTGGTTTCTGTTTTTAGTTCCTTACTTTTTAGTTTTTTTTTATAACTTGTTCAGCTTTTAGCCAATATGGAAGCAAGCATTTTTAAATAATCTAAGTTCTATGATAAGCATTAAGCTTTATTCTTCTGACTTGTTTATCATTCAATTCTCTATAGTATTATCGTGGTTATTTGGCTCTACGCGAATGTTTACGGATTGATAATTCTAAAATATCCGTTTATCTATTCGCTAGTTCATTATGTTTGGGTCATTTGAATTTAATTGAAGAAGGCATGGAATTAGCTTCACAGGCAGTAGAGGTAATATTTCTACTCCTACCTATTTACAATTATTATTATTATTATTATTATCAGCTTTATTGAATATTATATTTTTGTTACAATATAGAATTCTCAGCGTAAAGTATTTCAAAAAGTTTCCGTTTCTTTCTTCTTGGTCGGTCCTGGCGATAAATATTGAGTGATCGCCAGTTAGATGTTAGCAGTTCAGTAAATGAACATCTGAATAATGTACATTCTTTTCGCTGTATATTGCCAGCAACCACATCGTCTCTTATTGAGTTTTTGTAACTTTGACAACGAAAGGTTGTACACTTTTCAGAAACGCAGCAGAATAGGTCATGCGATTAATAAACATGATGATATATTAAAACAAACAAAAATAGATAACTTGTTGAAATATCTAGATGGCAGGAACAGGTAACCCAGAAGCTCAAGCAGGCCGCCCTTTTCGCTTATGTTCAATACAATGTGTTTTTTTATCAATCTATTCACATATAATAATTTCTATTGATACTGGTTTAAATTAATTAGTTTCAACTGGATGAATAAAATTGTTTTCCGAATGTTTTAAATATTAATTATGCAATTTAATGATTTTCTTGAAAAGAGCAAGAACAAAGATTCTAGCAGAATAACATGAATTCATTTTATTTCGTAGGTTCTCGTCAACTGCTTACAACCTGTGGTATTTAAAAAGATAATAATTGCATAATGGGTTGAAATAGCTTACATGAGAGGGTTTGTTTGGAAGTTATATTGAAGATATATTCGTAAAGTATATCATGGGTGTAAATGAAATTAATAGACTGAATATTGTAAATATATACCTAACGTGAAAGAATATTCTAGAGCATTAATTGTGGCAACAGTTCAAAAGGGGTTAGGAACAATTGATTACGTAGTGAATAAACATTGATAGGAATATAGTGAGTAGAGTATTTTAGAGGGCAGAAAAGATATGTGCCATTGATAAGCTGGAAGAAGAATTGATGAACGTGCAAAAATGCCTACTAGACAACTATTACCCACAAAAGTTTATTGACAAATATAAAAAGCGTAAAGAAAATAATACTGAAGTAATTACTGTCAATAAAAAACAATAACTATAAGTCTTAACTTCAAAGGTGATGATGTTGCTAACATAATCAACAGGAAACTTACTACTGCACTAGCCAGAACCTATCCGGCGGCCAAACTTCAAATTCTGTATAAAACAACATGTTCAATAACTCAATCAAAGGTTGATAAGCATCCCTTTCATGTTACCGCCAATTGTATTTATAAATTACATGTACCTGCCAAAGCAGCTATATTGGCCGAACAGAAAGGAAGGCATATCTCAGATTTTTTGAACATGTTCCAAAAAGCCGCAGAACAAGAGAAAGAAAGACTCTAAGTAATGCAATCACTAAATATCTCCTTGACACAGGCCATCAGGTTGACATCCTACAATCATTCAAGGTGATTAGTAAGCAACCAAACTCCAGCCTTCTGAAGCAGTTGCTATCAGGCGCCAAAAACCTGATTTATGTGTTCAAAAGGAGATGATTGTTAATCTTTCCCTGCCTTGGTGACAAATATTCTTCCGCTGCAGCTTAAAATTTTTTTTCTTATCTTTTATATTTATTACCTCATTGATTTTATTTTTTCAACTGTCTTTAAAAAAAAATCTTTCAACTGAACCCTACTCACTATATTCCAATCAATGTTTATTCATTATGTAATCAATTGTTCCTAACCCCTTTTGAACTGTTGCCACAATTAATGCTCTAGAATATTCTTTCACGTTAGGTATATATTTACAATATTCAGTCTATTAATTTCATTTACACCCATGATATACTTTACGAATATATCTTCAATATAACTTCCAAACAAACCCTCTCATGTAAGCTATTTCAACCCATTATGCAATTATTATCTTTTTAAATACCACAGGTTGTAAGCAGTTGACGAGAACCTACGAAATAAAATGAATTCATGTTATTCTGCTAGAATCTTTGTTTTCGCTCTTTTCAAAATGATAAAGGGAACTATGTTAATGATTATCATTATCAAGATTAATAATTTCAGATAAATTGATCATTGAATAGAATGTTGATAATATAACGATGGTATACTTGTAATGTTTCATTAAGATATCAAAAAACAACACTACTATATTACGATGTATTAGGTATCATTACCAGGGTTTGATTTGATTATTTTGAATAAATTGAGCGTCGGGTAAATTGTTATAAATAAATAATATATTTCTAACATCCCAATGAGTAGAAAAACTAGATTTTCTGACGTTTTGTGACTTAGTGTAAGCCACTTCTTCAGAGAATATATTATTTATTTATATTACTATATAGTTTAATTTTATGTTCTGTAAATTCTAGCAATGAGATTGAGCATCTAATTTCAAAATTTATCAATTACACTTGTCTACATTAACTTGATAGTCTGTGCTTCCAATAATACTAAGATTTGACACTCTTATTCACAAATTCTCATTGTCACTAACGTTAAAAGAAAAACTAACCAACTATCTTGACAATCATATATATTGTTTATATTGAATTCTTCCTGTTTAGATACAAATATATTGTGTACATAAATTTTCTTTTAGGTTTCTGCACAGTCTGAAACAGCCTTTATGGCTCGTGCTCATTTACTAGTTGGTTGGGGTTGGTCTATTTTAGCCAGGTCATGTTGTGTTGTAGATAAAAAAAGTGAATTGCGTAATCGTGCTGTAAAAGAGTATAGAATGTAAGTGCCCTTTTTATAATCTAAGGTAGTATGATATATTATAAGTCGAGTTACCTCATATAATCACAATACCACCCTCGTATTCTGATTATGTTAAATGTTTAGAAAATATTTATAGCAATGAATAACTGGTCAGACCTATACAGTGTGAAGGAGACTAGAAATGGCGATTTCATAGTGGAGAAATATGCACATAAGCTTCTTCAAGTTAGAATATTAAAATCGTAGTATTTGATCACTTTTATCAGGTCATTATCAGTCTGGTCACCTCAGTTACACTAAAAATTGTCAGCTTATATAGCTTCTATATGCATTAGGTCCCTTTATTCTCTTCCAGTCATATGCAATATATAATCTGGCACGTACGTGCATCTGTTCAAATTGCCACATCACATTAGCACAAGCATGATGAAATTATCAAGCCAAATTTCAGAGTTGTAGAATTGATAACAGTATCAGCTTTAATAAAAAAGATGTAGTGTAAAATGAAAAATGTATGAAAGGTTTTTGTATATCAGGATCTAGGGGAAGACAAAGACCAAATGTACCTCCGGCGTTGTGAATGTTTTTGAGCCATATCACCCGAAGTCTCTGATCATTTGTTACAACAATCACATAAACCTTAACAAGGGAGTCTCTATAACTGTGCTAAAGTTGGGTTCTGGGTTATATTTTCTCACTTACTATTCACAAAGTTTATATTAATGATTTTCAAATTATGTGCATATTTCATTTTACTACTCAAAGGAGCTTTAAGAGGTATAACTGAATCATTAGAAATCACATGTCTATAGAGTTACTTCAAAAGACATTGTTGTTGATACAAAGCTCTGATGAAACCACTTTATTTGTACATACGTTGTTCACCTGACCTTTAAGTCTGTTCACAACTTATATGATTTAAATGACCCATTGTGTCATTGAATATAAATAAAGTGAATTCAGCGAAGAAAATTTTCTTTTCGACGGAAATATTAATTCTTTCATTCTGTTTAAAGTTTAATTTCCTGTATAATAAACATTAATACAGTAATTTAAAGCAATTAGTCCCTTTTATAAATTTCGATAGAACAATGAGATCGACTCCGTCTTCTCATTTTTCTATCGAAATACAGTAATTAGTGAATTTATCACCTTACTCCAATAGTTAAGCTGAAATTGTTTTTATATATTAGAGAAGTTCACTGTCGACTCCTATATGGTTATCTTTTGCATATCATCTATTTTATTTTTTATTTTTTTCATTTCATTAAAGTGCTATTCAACTAGATCCCGATGATTATCTAGGATGGTATCATTTAGCGGTTGAATTGGCTACACAACGTCATTTGGACGAAGCCTTGTCAATTTGTCAACAAAGTTTACAATTAATGCCAATACATTCCAATACATTGTATTTATTAGCGTTATTGCATACAGCTGGAGGGAAACGTTTAGATCAAGCTGCAAAGGCATTATATGTTGGTTTAAGCGATAGACCAAATGATTTTAATTTATTGTTTTTATTAGCTAAAATTGAAGAAGCTAGAATTAATCCTAAAGCTGGTTTGAAAGTCTATCGTCAATTGTTAAAAGTATGGCGTGATACATTCTCGTTAGGGGCTAATTCAAAGTAATTTTTTTAAGTTTCTCATACTAATAATAAACCTTATTACAGTTTTTTTACATCAGTGTATACCTATATATTGATAGAATGTATGATAGATTTTCTGTTGAACATATATGATCATGAATTTATAAGCTCATTACGACAACCAAGTATGAATACAAGACAGTTATTTGTATGACATACTAGTTAAATTAGAAGTATCTTTATTAAACTCACAAAAGTGATTCCTACGTAGTATGACAAAATTAAGTCGTGAACTGATTGGTTACAAATATATTGACTGGTTTGCAGTGGTTGTTTAATAGATAGACCACTTGACTTTCAATTTGGCAACCGGATAGTTTCACTAGTTCTCAAATCTAAAACGTGTCTTATCTGATTACAATAATCTAGGCTTCTTAAACGTATTGAATCACTGAAATTTATTATATGGAAGTACTGTTCCATACAATTCCATTTATTCATAGTAGTACACAATGATAAAATCTAATTAGTTGGATGATATATCAAATATTTATATGATTTCTCACAATTATACCGTCTTCACGACCAATATATATTTGTGATAAATCCTAGGTTTTTGATATTTGTCTGTCGACTGAGATAACTCGTTTGAGAGTTCTCATGGTTGATAGTAGTTTGTTTTATGGGTCCATTACATATGCCTACCTTTTCATAATAGATCACTAGAAGTACTTAGAAACTGCTAAATATTTGTTCAATGATGATGTAGTTTATTCTTCAGACCGTATATGAATTGGGATGTACGTATTCATGAAAACACGTCAAACTAAAACCAGATCAATTATACATATACTTCCTGGCTTTTTTATTATTTGTTCAAGTGATTCCATTTGATTCATGTTAAAGTTTATTTTTCAGGTTAATTAATGCTTCAAAGCTTTCAAGTAATATAAATTTTATACATTTTAAATTTTTAAGGGTAATATTCAATCGAATTCGAAAAGCTGCCCTATCAAATAACAACGATATAACTAATTCAAATACTCCTGATGACTTAACACTTTCCAATGTTTCTTCATTCAGTCCGTCGTTAGAATTAGACGATGACTGTTCAATATTAAATGTATGGGAAGAAAAAACTAACAACAGCAATTACTTACAGTCTGCGCTATCTGATATAGCGATTGGTTGTGCTGGCCAAACTGGTGCATCTATCGTACCGCTTCCAAGACAATCTCGTCCGGGCAATCAAAATCAAACAACTGCTTTGAAAGTACAAATTAAAATTTACCAAGGTCTAGGTAGGTATTATGTGAGTGCGTTTACATTTTCTCCCTGTGCTCACGTTTTTTTATTATTCAGCTCTTTCTAAGTTCTGAACTGTACAGTAAACAAAGTTCTTCATTATTCTGTCTGTTCACTGTTAAGAGTCTGTATTTTGCTTTCCATCTTATTGAAACCTAATAGATCCTTCGGTGGATTATAACCTAATAACTGAGTGACAAATGAAGTCTGAAAATCATTGCAAGAAACTTATCTGCAAAATAGGTGTTATTGATATAAAAATAACAAATAGCCGGGACTATAGGTCTAAAACAGTGAGCTGTGGTATTAGCAAAACAAGGCCAACGATAGGATGCTTCTTTTAAACACGTATCTAGTAAATAATTCATAAGACATCGTAAAGTGAATAACAATTTAGTAATTAGAGCTATTCAGCATCAAATATAGAGGTTGTTAAGAATAAATACATTTTCAATGAACAACTTACTACATAGATACAAAACTCAGTTGATGGAAAAGGAATACAATAAGATGGAAATAACTGTTAAATGAAGTTACATAAAGTACAGTAAATATACATTATGAACTCCACGTTTAAAAATGATATCAGATACTGAATAATAGTAAGTAATGTTGAATAATACACCATAAAGAACGGAAAATATAAAAAACTGCAAATCAGTTCATATTAAGCAGGTTGTAAGTGCCTATCAGTTGACTTCATATACCGACAAACCGATGGTGTAGCAATGGAAAGTCCGTCAGGTCCTTCTCTAGCAGATGTTTTCATGGCTAATCTCGAAAGAACTAAGATCAAAGGAGCGAATGATAGAATCATGTATTATTCGTGGTATGCTGATGATACCTTCATCGTACGTAATAATCAACAAATCGGCTAAAACATTTCAACGAAGCCCATCCAAATATCCATTTTACTGTGGAACATGAAAATGAAAACAAGTTCCACTTTCTCGATATCGCAATGAAACAAAGGAAGGATGGTACAGTTCAGCGTTCAGTTTATAAGAAAGACACATGGAACGGGGTTTATCTCAATCTCAATAGCTTTTGTCCAATCAGTTACAAAAAGGCACTTGTCAAAACACTGTTTCACAGAACAGAAAGAATGTATACTGCCGATACTCTAGAAGAGAAAGTTATGAATGTTATAAAGTGTTTAAAGAATAACGGATACCCACTAAAATTTATTGAGAAATGTGGTAAACGTGAAGATTAAAAAAACCCAAAGAAACTACAGCAAATAAAAAACCTATTCTTATTCAACTTAAACTCAAAGGTGATTATGTCACAGGGTCAATCAATATGAGACTAAAAACTGCATTGATAAGAACCTATCCTGCAGCTAAACTGACTGTCCTGTCCGAAACAACATGATCTTCGACACCATCAAAGGTCGATAGTTAACCCTTTCATGTTACCACCAACTTTGTATACAAATTTACATGTATCTGACAAAACAGCTACATTAGTAGAACAGAAAGGAGAGCCTACGTCCGATTTAAAGAACATATTCCAAGAAGTTTAAGATCGAATGGGTTAAAAGCATTCAGCAGTGCCATTGCAAGACATCTCCTTGACACAGGACATGAATTGATACACTGAAGTCCTTCGAGATGATTAACACCATCCTTTTAAAATTTATCGAAGCAATAGCGATTAAACGTCTAAAGCCACATCTTTGTATACAAAAAAAGACAGTAATAAATCTTTCTTTGCCCTGGTAACATCACCCTCCTTTTTTGTTTATTACGTCATTCACTATTTCAAATCTTTCTGAAGTTTAAATTACATCATTGTCGTTTTTCTTTAATTCATAACTGATTGATCTCAATTCATATCTTTCTTTATTGCCATTAATTTATTTCCAGTTGCTTCATTATAAAATCATCCAATGTTTGTTAACTCCATGAGTTCTAATCACTATTTCAATGTTCTAGAACTTTTCCTCCCAAACTTTATTTATACGAAATAAAATTTTTATGACCTTATTAACTCTTGAAATCTTCGCTACATCATGATACATATATTCATCTTTCATCATCATTGTATGTATAAGTATGTCAGTATCTGTAATAACGTTGATTCTCAAATATTTTAGGTTGTAAGAAGCTGATGAAAACCTAACGAAATAAAATGAATTCATATTATTCTGCACCAATCTTTGTTCTTACTCTCCTTAGGACTTTAGGATTATTAGTGCCACATCACTTGATTCTATAACCATTGGTTACGATAATCACGCGGACTTCGATCAAGTAGCCCACACTTATTAATATGACTATCGAGTTGTTAGTGTCCTCATGAACTGATGTCACGTTTTGGTTTTACCGCCCCCAACTTTCTTCTAGCCTTCTACGTGAGAAATCTTCCGTAGTGGTTGTACATTCAACCAAAAGGTCCCAACCACGTCTATCGACAAAGATTCACTAACACGTTACCCAATCTTCCATTTTCTCAAGTACCCTGTCGAATAAGTTAAACTTTAAACAGCAATGTTTTATTTTATTTTATTTGAACACATGAATATTGGTACAAGAGAGCGCCAATATATATGCGCCACACAAAACAATGAGAATTCGAAGAGAAATAGAAAAAAAGAGCTAAGGAGCGCAAAAAAAAGAGAAAAATACCGAAGAGATTGGTGTAAGGTAGTGTGGTAGTAATGAGGGAACGCAAAGGTACAATCGGAAGAAATCTTTCAGGTAAGGGAGACACAACCACTTCTTATGAAGAAAGTAAAAGAACATTACAGCAGGATCACCACTGGCTTCTATTCTGAGCCATATTTGATAACGTCTCTAGCCACTTTGTTGCACCATCACTCGGACCCCAACCAGGGAGTCGTGAAGGACCGACAGAAGCCAGTCCTTTGCAGCTTTCTTTCATGCCACGACACCATGTCATGCACTGACCACCTCTCCGCTTCTTCCAACCAGTCCCACAGTCGGCAAATAATGCACGACGTGGAATTCTCTGGGACGACATTCGTAGAACATGTCCAAGCCACCGAAGTCGGTGTTTCAAGATGGTGACACCAATTGAATTATCATCTCTGTGCCCGAACACACGATGCCGAACCTCTGCATTGCTGACATGGTGTTGCCACTGAATGTCAGCAATCCTTCGGAGACAGCGATGATCGAACACAGAGAGTCGTCTAACGTCCTCAACTCGAAGAGACCAGGTTTCACAAGTATAGAGCAAAACTGCTCTCACCGACGCGTTGTAGATCCGACCTTTTACAGCCAGACTAACATCACGAAGGCGCCAAAGGTGGCCCAGATTGGCATAAGCCGCTCTGGCTTTCACTATACGTGCATTGATCTCATCACTCACACCCCCACCAGCACTTATGCAGCTACCCAGATACACGAACTTCTCGACTATTTCTATCTGCTCACCATCCAGGGTGAGTACAGTATTAGAATCCTGCCAGTCTTGTAGAAGTACTTTGCACATGGAAGGCGCAAAGCTCATACCATACCTACGGACACTGATTGCCGACTGATTAAGTGCGAATTGCATGCCTTGGGCATTATCGCACAGTCCGCATACTCAAGGTGGAGAAGTCTTTCTCCAGGCAACAGATCCACACCACCATTACTTACGTTCATCAGAGCTGTTTCCAGAATGTCATCGATGGAAAAGTTGAAGAGGAATGGTGAGATTGGGCAACCGTGCCTAACCCCACTGCTTGAATGGAACAATGGAGAGAGGTGGTTGTATGCCCTCACTCTGCCTGAGGTGTTTGTATATATGGCTTTTAGGATGTTAATAAACTTCTCAGGCACACCCTTCTTCAATAGACAGTCCCAGAGAACAGTCCTGTCCAACGAATCGAAGGCAGCCCTGATGTCAAGAAACACTACGATTGTTGGCCTTTGATAGGTATGGAGGTGTTCTAACATTTGGCGGAGGGTGAAGATATGATCAATACACCGTCGACCAGAACGAAACCCAGCCTGCTCCTCGCGAGTCAATCTTTCTTGGGTTTTGAACAACCTACGAAGTATGACGGAAGACAATAGCTTGGACGCAATCGGAAGTAGACTTATCCCCTGATAGTTGTTACAGGAACGACGTGAACTCTTTTTAAAGATAGGGACAACTATCGACTCATTCCATGACGTTGGTACACTCTCTAGTTCCCAATCCTTTGTGAACAACGTCGTCAATTCCTTAGTCAAAAAGTCACCACCATCTTTAAAAAGAGCCGGAGGTAAGTCATCTGGGCCAGGTGATTTGTAACGCTTCAAGAGTTGGAGTTCCTTGCAGACTTCCTCCTCGTTTGGTGGATCAGTCGTCACCGGCCATGTAGGGCAGGACAGTCTGACCGATGTTGCCGGAGCAGCAGGCCAGTTGAACTGCCCTTCGAAAAATTCTGCCCACCGTCCAAGACGTCGATGGATGTTAATGATTGGCATCCCATCATCCTCGCAGATTGTTTCACTCACACCAGACTTCTTGCTGCCAGTGGCTCGGATGAGCTGGAAGAGCTTCCGGTAGTTACCAGATGCAGCTGCTGCTTCCAGCTCATTAGCACGCTTCGACCACCAGGCTTCTCGGTCCTTACGCAGGCTTTGCCCAATTTCCTTACGTAACATCCTTCCTCTGTGGTCAAACTCACGGTCACCCGGAGTAGACCGACGGGCTTCAATGAGTTGTAAGGAACCAGAAGAAACCCAGTGCTTAAAAGCGGGACGCTTCGCAAACCCACAACTGACTGTTCCCGCCATTTTCATGGCGTCATGCAATTGCAACCAATGCCCATCTATACTTTTCGGTGGAGTGGTAGCTAGCCTAGAGGCTAGCTCGGTTCGATACTTGCTTGCAACAGAAGTTGCAACCAGCTTGCTAATATCAATCCGTTGATGGCGTTCACTTCGTTGTCCACTGAAAAGTAAGGCAAGATTGGCGCAGACCAAGGCATGGTCAGAGTCCAGATAGGTACTCCAAAAGGAGCGGCAGTCTTGTACACAACCACGCCAGCGGTAGCTGATCGCGATGTGATCAATCTGAGTTCAGGCTTGAGATGCAGAGGGAGGACGTCAGGTGGCACATCGGCGATGACTGTGCCGAAAGTTAGTGCTAGCCAGAAACAGGTTGTGGTCTGTGCAAAGTTGCAGTAGACGGTCCCCGTTATCTGACCTGCGATCAACAAGTCCCCATCGGCCACCTAAACGACTCTCTTCTGTGCCTAGACGCCCGACCTGAGCATTCAAGTCTCCGGCTAGTACTACAATATCTGTCGAACGCACTTTCTGGAGAAGAACAGATAACTGGTGGTAAAACTCATCCTTGATTGCATCAGGGCTGCAATCTGTCGGGGCATAGGCGGAGATGAGGAAAAGACATCGTTTCACGCCGATTTCTTCTCACTTTGATGGAACTTTCTAATCTAACTGCACATAGCCGACTGTTAATGGGGATCCAATCGACTAGTGCTGCCTCAGCTCTAGCGCTTAGTGCGACACCAACGCTAGCAAGACCAGACGAAGATGCCACAGGGTCCCCGGATAAGCGCACGTAAAACAAGCTTTTCGAAGCGACAGATGGAGATCGAATTTGTAGTACTTCGCCAGAGTCTTGAATACGAGTCTCGGATAGACAGCAGACATCGATATTAAGACTTTCTAAAGACATAGCCAGCCCTATCTGTTGTCCAAACTGTATAAGTGTGCGAACGTTGAAGGCAGCCAGTTTGAATGGTGCACGTGGTTTCAGGAAAACTGCTTCAGTACTCATATTGGGTGGTAACATACAATTTTCAACCGACCAGTGACTCGAGAACGTTTAGATACAGTCGGATTTCCACCAAAGACGAGCCGCTGTATAAGTATAAAAGAGGGTGAATAATGTGGATAATAATAATAATAACAATAATTGTAATGATCATAATTTGAATCAATTGGTTGTTTTTCGAAGCGAGAAAATTAATTTCCATAGACATAGAGAGTTCATCATTTGTGTGTGGGCTGTGATACTGCCCGGGTGCCCAAACCGAAGTAGGTGGTTATCTTAGGGGGCCACACCTCGAGCCTTTGACCTAAAGGTCTAACCCACAAGGCAGTGGAGCATCGTAAGGAGATGCAATCCCATGGTAGCCGGTGACCAACGATTGGTTCACACATTTTTTTGTTCCCACCGGATACTGGAGCCCATGTGCACCATTGATTTGGAATCCGGTTAAAGCCCCGGACATTCGCTTTTCGTCCTCTCATTTTCGTAAACAGCACCCCCGCCACGAGAAGGCAATGAGTAGGACTTCCCTGGCAGAGGCTGTATACGCGCGGCCGTGTGAGAGTATTTCGAGAGGGAGAGCGGACTCTCCCCACTCTCGGCCGTACCAGGGCATTTGGGGCAATGTATATCATCCTACTTATTTTAAAATTTGAAATATTCCCATATTGTGATTTAAAACAACGTATATAAGTGAACAATATTGTTTTCGATTAGATCCTAGTCGAAAACAATATTGTTCACTACTTATTTTAGATTTAGTAAATTTTAACACACTATTAATCTTCAAAATTTATTTCAGCGGAGTCATATTTAGACAATAATCAATTGTTTGAAGCCAAAGAAGCATTAGATGAAGTAATGAAAATTGGTGGTCTTGATAACCAAACATTATATCTTGTATGTCCTATTTTAATGTTTAGTAGTTAATAGTTATAAAGATTTTTTGGTTTTTGTAGCAAAAGCTGACTTTCAACCCTAACATATGCTTGCCTTTTTGTGTCGTAGAACTCTCAATTGGCCTCCGAGGATAGAACGTTTTATTAAAACCCCTTGGATTGTTTGACTCAGTTGTGTTCAAAAGTATCGACCGTTTGTATTGATGGAGTACAGTCATCGAATTGCTTTATCTGTTCTCTATAAATTTTTAGAATCATCGTTCTGGATCATAAAAATAGCTATTCTTGTTTAGCTAGCCAAGATTATCAAAGCAGTGCTAAACAACTGCTCAGTAGGTCTGGATTTCAACTAATTTATTCACTGACAAAGTTGTTTACAATCATGAATGAAGTCTTGATTGCCTCATATTCTTAAACCTAGTTCCATGTTTCGCGTGCTACCTTGCTTAACTTTTATGGAGCAAACCTAAGGATGAAGTGCACATGTTAGTATTGTTTCTTCTATTCTGAAAACCCAACCATAGTAACTGAAGATGCCACAGGTATTGTTGTTGTTTTGAAACGAGACAAGCATAGATTGCACCTGCTGAGTAAGTTAAGACAAGAAAATTTAAATGTAATTATCGAGCGTATCTCAAACAATCACCCAACCAAGCTATATTGCCCTGAGCATTTGTTGTTTGAGGTCCCAGTGTGCCAGCTTAGGAGCTGTTAAGGCAAAGTCGTCATATTTAAGTTCGGTGTTGTACAAAGTTGTACTGCCGACTATTTGAGAATATGCCAGCAATATGTTTCCTAAAGATAATGATGGTACCACTCTTCTAAAATATGGTTGCTCCCCTCGTACCACGGATCTTTGGTTGTGGTGGTAAAGTTTGAAAGCCTACAGTCAGTCCTTGAGGGAAAAAAACCACTTAAGAAAAGGTTATTCATGACCGATCTAAAGGTATTGTTGAGCTTTATGAGTGCATTCCCAACCCAACAGATCTTTAAATATTAACGTATCTAAATTTTTCAATCCTCTAACCTATTATATCCCTGTTATCACTTAATTTATGGTTTCATCTTCTGTTTCATGTACAACCACTTCTAACCTTTTAATCTACATATTGGAGTATTCAGTGTTCTAACCCTTTGTCAAACCAGAAAACAGATTTTACTAGCCACGGTTCTAAAATCGTGTGGCATAGATATATTCAAGATTTCTAAAACCCGAAAACAGAACTCCATTACTAGATTATAGGTAACCTTAAGCATTTCACTCGGATAGCTTCGCTATCCGAGAGATTTTGCGAAGTTTAAAAGTAGGTTTTTTAGGTAGTGATGGTAAATGGGTTTATGTCGATCCCTTTAATAACATGGCTCAAAATCGTTGCTAGTGATTCCCTCTCATTCATCCTTTTTTTCTAAATTTTCAGCATAGTGTTATCCAAAACCTCTACTTCCAATAGTTTTTTTTTAACCGTGTTTATTCTTCAGTCCATATTGATACCGTCATTTCTTTGTTTTACGTCCTGTTAATTTTTCTTCTAGCTGTGGTAGCTTAAACTGGGACATAACACTATGTTCATGATTGACTGTTACTGCGATGTATAAATTACGTTTTGAGCCAAAATACATTTGGATTGTTTACACATGTTTTTCAACAGACTACTTTAGTGTACAACTTCTTAGATCTCTACTCCATGAGCCAGGTCTACATTAGCACCGACGCCGTCAGTTGATTGACTTTTGTATACACAGTATCTTCTTAAATATGTTAGGTTTATGATCAGTCACAATTTCTATAGGACTCAAGTCAACATTCAATACCGACTACCAGCAATATTATGTATTGGTATGATTACACTTCTTTATCCAACTAAATTTTACAACTGTGATCATCCCTCATAAGATTTATTATCATCCATATGTATATTTCGACTAATTTATTGATGCAAATTCATTTTCTCATCGAATGAGCTGCCAACTTTAAATTGGCTCACCAACAGTTATATGAAGTTTGGGGCATAGTTTTGGTTTAATAGTATTATTACAGTGCATTTGAAATAGTATCGAAAACGTTTTTCGTTGAATCGTAGTTTCTGATTTTCTTGCTGGTAAATACATACGACATAATGGTTTCCAGCATTTTTTAATGACTATTATCATTAGTTAATGGTTATTTGTTCTTCGTTGAATGACTCACAACCATACTGCTTTGGTTTGAATAAATAAACGACTGTTTTAACTCCCTTATATGTACTCCCTTAATTAGGATTCTGCCTCCTTAAATCCATTCATTTAGGAATTGAGGATCTATTCTGTGAAAAACATGACCTTTGAAATACATGATTTCGCCATTTGATTATGCTGTCATAGCAAACTCATCGTTACTTAGAATTATTTAGTTATAGTGTGTATATACTTATGTTAAAAAAAGACTTATTAATCTGTCCTGACTCGAATTATGATTAGTTGTTCAGCCCCAGTCTCTATGAACTGGGATGGTAGTATTTCTCGACCTTAAGGCGGCATTCGACTCTGTTGATCGTAAGGTTCTATGGCAGTGTTTGTCACTGAAAGGAGTACCAAAGAAGTACATTAACCTTATACAGGCTCTCTACTCGAACACAACTGGTAAAGTGAGAGCTTATGGCGAACTGTCATCAGAATTGATTACCTCAAGTGGTGTTCGTCAGGGCTGCCCACTATCTCCATTCTTGTTCAACTTTGTCGTCGACGCACTTTTAGAGATAACACTTTCCTCGTTTAGATTCCCAGGGGTTGAACTTCTACTGGGAGATTCACTTGTTGACTTAGAATATGCTGATGACATAGTTTTATTTAGTGAAGACGCTGGCAAAATGCAGAGTCTTCTGACCACTCTAAGCAACAATGGAATCATGTTCGGGATGCGATTCTCCCCCTCGAAATGCAAAATGTTGCTTTAGGACTGGGTTGCATTGACACCCGAACTAATGATAGAGAGTGAAGTAATTGAGCGTGCCGACCGCCTCACTTATCTTGGAAGTCTCATCAGCCCTTGTGGTCTGGTGTGTGACGAAATCTCAGCACAGATACGGAAGGCTCGACTAGCTTTTACCAACTTGCGTCATTTATGGCGTAGGCGAGATATCCGTCTATCAACCAAAGGATGTATTACTGCCCAGCAGTTAGTTCCGTCCTACTTTATGGCAGTGAAACATGGCCGGTAATAGTAGAGGATATCCGTAGGTTACTGGTATTTGATCATAGGTATCTTCAAAATATTACTCGAATATCCTGGGACCATCGAGTAAGTAATGCAGTTGTTAGGAAACGGGTACTAGGTAAGGATGGCAAATCAATCGATGACGTAGTGAAACTTTATCAGTTGAGATGGCTGGGACACGTGTTACGTATGCACAACGACCGACTGCCTCGATGTGCGATGTTCAGTGGTATAGGAGTAGGTTGGAAGAAAGCTAGAGGCGGCCAGACCAAACCATGGCACAAGTCCATGAAGTCACTGACAAGTAGACTGAGTCATGTTAGTAGGTATAGACTACCTCGTTGGGGACCGCAAGATGATAGCAACCGATGGCTAGAGACCTTGAATTACATGGCTCAAAATCGTTTGCAATGGCGCAGGTGCATACACTCTGTGTTCTCCCAAATTTTGATCTCCTTATTCCTCCTTGTCTCTTTTTTTCTCTTCCCAAATTTATTTCACTGTATTATACTCTTTAAATAACATCTCCAAACACTAATCTTCCCGATTACTGCTTATACTCTTATTACCTCTACCACTACGGGATTTGAATCGACCACTGCATCTCTGTGCTAATGTGGTCTGGCAACTCGAACTGACGTAAGTACGTACGAAGTTCTACGTTGTTACTGAGTGAAACTGGGATATAGATATGATACATTTGTATTGGTTGTTTGAGTTTTCCCATTGACGTTTAGGATCTCAATTGATCAGTCTCTTTTTAGCGTATTTGCTTCCTGTGTGTATTGCTTCAATATTCTCGTTGAGTCCGCACGAAATGTACGTATGCCAAAGTGGTTCTGAACATCAATAAGTAGATCCAAATAAACGATACAAACGAATTAAATTTCACCCCATTGCACAAGTCAGCGCCCACTTCGACTCAGTAGCTAAGTAAATAATGCGGTAAGTTATGAAGCGAATGGTATTGGGTTCGAATCCTGAAAGGAACATCATCTCCGGGATGGAGGTACACCTTGTCGACGAGTCACAAATGGGACGAAACACGCGTCCTAGGCTCCACTACTAGCTATCACCCATCTCTGCTAATAACAGATATGATTGTGTCCACAAATGAGTTTTGTTTGTGTAATAATATTGCAATTGGAGTTTTGATATTTTCTTGTTACTGTTCGTAATTATGCAGCGTGGACGTTTAGCAGAAGAACGAGGACTCGTATGCATAGCCCGATCTTTATATGAAAGCGTTATTGCATTGAAGCCGGACCATTTACAGGCATTGCTTTCTTTAGTAAGTTAAATATTTATTATCATTTGAAAGAGCTTTTTGTTGATATTTGGGACGTCTCTGCTGACATGCTTACATGGTAAGCAAATGTTCCATCGAGGATGTTGGTAGCTTTGGTGAATCGATAGCTTTTAGCGAAGACCGTATTGGCTCTTAAAGCGATAGGTACGGTACCACCGACATCTGAAGCTGTAGCATTTAGTACTTTTCACGCTTACGTAGATTTTGGACAAACCAATTAGCTTTTCGAGTCTCCGTCTACACATATATTTTACCTTGTTACCTATTCGCCTGTAATCCTGATTTTTGGCATGGCTGTTCGTGTTTACCACATACTCTCTCGGTCACTTCTTTAATTTTTTTTCCCTATCTGACTACAAATAATAAGTCTCGCTTCATTAAATTGAGTTGGCACGTTTGATTTCTCCGCTTCTCATTTGTGTTGTTTCTATGGTTCACCCATAGTTAAAGATATCGGTGCACCTTGGATTTTTCAAACTCGGGAGCTGTTTTTGATGTTATATTTACTGAAGTCAAATACCAACGTTTCGGTCTGCAAAATTTAAATTAGTCAACTGATTTCAACATCCTTCATCAACGTTCAAAAGTCAGAATTAGTGTCGTGATGGGCTTCATTGATAAAGAACACATAGTACTTATTCCTTAAAACAGTAGATATGCCATCGAAATGACCGTTGTAGGGTGTTTTTCGTTTTCATTAATAAGTCCATTCAATTTCGCTAAAGATAATCGTTACGGTTGTACTCTAGGACACATCTGAATAATTTTATATCCTCGTTTGTTTCACTTTCTGTTGTTTAATCCATTATAATAACGATCATTTGTTTATCAGGCTAGTCTTTTACATAAAAATAATCAAACAACCCTGGCTGAACGTGTAGCACGAGATGCAATGAATGTGGACCCAACAAGTTTTCGTGTATGGCGTTTACTTGCTGACATATTAGGTTCGTCAAATACACCGGAACCAGCATCTGATGCTGTTGTTACACGTGCACTATTAACAGCCATTGAACTGGAACAAACTGAACCGATTGAACCATTTTATTGCTTACCACTTGGTGTACGGTGTAATTAAATATGATATCTTTCGATTACTGTTAATCCTTTATATTACTTAGCGCTGTAATTATACACATCTATATTCCTTGTAATTACAGTTGATGATTTCTATAACTTAGTTTATTTATACACTATCCTATTTGATCAAGATATTTTGGTTTTCCTTCAAATATGTATATAAATAAAATATGATATAAAAGTTGTTTTCATGCTTTCGATACTCACTATTAGTGTTAGGTGCGACTATATTCAATATATATGTTGAATTCGGTTGGAAAAGTGGTTTAACTAAAATACAAAATCCGTTTCAGTTTGTTAGTTTGTGATGTGTACAGAATGCATAAACGTTCATTGCTTAACGGCTGGATAGTTAAAGTCTAGTTGCAGACTAGAAATATAGGTAATGGCAGATTATTAGCATGATGGTACTTTGCAGTTTACCACCATGCTATATTGAATACTTTAATCAACTCTCTGATAATAACATTGGCTTCATCTTTAAAAAGTGACAATAATTAGTTTTCCAGACATCCGCATCGAGGAAAACAAACCGATACGAAAATAAAAGGAGACATCATGAAGTGACTGCATACACAATATTCAGCTATCATAAGACCAGAAAACGTTCACTTTAAAAGTAATAATTTCAGATCACCATGTATTGCTCAATGGAGAAATCTGTTCATTCAACAAATTATTTATTAAAAAAAAATTAAAAGCCAACTTTTCCAAGTCTTTCGTCAGTTTTTGGGTCTGCTGTCAATTTTTGAACATGTACTATGCTAGCATTTGCTTGGTTTTGTAATTTTCGTAGCCGATCTATATTTAACAATCTTAACGCAATAGCTGCAGCCTTTACATGAGGATCTTTAACACTAAATCCAAGGCATACATCATCAAGCTTTAGCATATCAACCTAAACGATGCAAGAAAATCGAATAAATAGAAAGTTTGCATGAATTTTATGTACAAGGATTTAAAATCGAAAAAACGCAACATTTAGATTGTATATTCTTATCTCTTCTAAATGTTATCATTACAAACAATGCGGTTTCTTTTGAAAAAAATCATCATACAAATTCATAAACTTACCATATTTTCTGGAAGTATTACTTATTTTAGTACATTTTTTTCAAAAGGATGCTTTTATTTCAAATGATAAAACAATCTTATTACCAACAGGAACGAAAATAAGTGTGAAAACCAACAAACAGGTCACCCTACCACATATGAAGGACATATCAGAAGTCACAACAAGGTTATTGAGAGCGTTTGGAATATACGCAGAACATAAACCAAGCCAATCTTATGGAAACCGAAAGGGATGAAATAGAGAAAGTAGAAAAGTTAACATTTATTTGCTTCAATTGCTGCGAGATTATAACATATGGACGGACCAATCAGAATTTTGGGCGCAAAATTTATTCGGCCATAGGTTAAATAGCCTTTTAGCACTACAGCTTATGCCAGTTCGTGACGAAAACCATAGTTCCTAAACGTAACGTCCAATTGTTAACGCTGATCATAATACTTCACACTAACTTATGACCCTCTTATAACCGTAGCAAGTAGGAGAATATTCTCCAGGTCACTTTGGCGTTGCTTAAATGTCATGCATAAATTAGTCTTTCTTTAATTGCAACAAGCAATAAATTGCAAATTGAACGATCTTAACATGCATCAACATCACCTAGTTGTTGAACACTAGGATGTATTTTCTTGCATATCAATCTACGTAGACAATTATGTACGTTTGACCGTGAAAATGTCGAAATATTTGATAGAAGGAATGCCAAGACCACTGAACTTTCGGGAGCTTGGCACTAAGATTCATTAGCAATCAATAAATGTATCGGAATTGATCCGATTTTCACATAATTAAAAAGTCATGGGCAGCCAGATCGAAAATGAAGTTACAGGGGATGACAATCAAAATAAATGTGCATATAACAACAGGACGGGTCAATAACTCAGTCACAACGTGAAACCTGGTGCGTATGCGCATCATACCATACTTCATTAGTAAGGACAAATAAAGCCGAAAATCGTTGGGATAGTGACAGTATCGATGGTAACAGGAACAAACAATCAGGGTAGACAGAACGGTCAGTCATGTGTAGATGAATATAAATACCTCACTCTTCTCTGTGGTTTTCACCAACGATATTGTCCAGAAGGACAGTCAAAGCAGCACGATCAAACCACCTAGCTCAAGCAAAGGAACAAACAAGTGCAACCATCTGAGCAACAAATCTTTTTCATAATATTAAACCCGGTTCCCAAACACTGAGTAGATGAACAGCTAACGACTGATAAGCTTGAAAATAATATTCTTATAAACTGAAGTTCATCAAACCTCTCAAAAAGGAGAGAAACGACATAATATTTCACTGCATTTCTTTTCTAACCATATAAAACTACGGCTCAATAGGTAAGAGAATGGACTTTGCTCAACTTTGTTGTAAGCTTGTACTATGCTTTACTTACTTTTAGGTCGAAGAGCAAAGTAGTAAGATACCTAGAGTTCACAAAACATGTTCTCCACAGCCTTGTTTCCCAGTTACTATATATTTACTGAATTGCAATAATTATCTTGTTATGAGTATAAATGAGTACAAATATGGTTTAAGTATTAAATGACTCAAACAGACAACCAAGCGATGAAACTATATGTATGTATGCATTTTCGTGGTGTAAATTGCAGTTATGAAGGGAGTGTTTCCATAAGTAACTTGATACAGACTAAAACCAATTTTAACATCGAAATTCCTGTTGGTCTCAGTAGTGGTTTCAAATATAAACATGTAAATACTTCACTGTGGTGTATATTTCTTCTAATTGTCATTTGTTACACTTTTCCTCTTGCTTAAACTGATAGACTAACTTTCCACGATTTAAGGTAGCCTTAGTGAATAAATTGTGAAGTTAGAAATCCTTGAAAACATATAACTCCACACTGTAACCTATTAACGACGTTTAAACGTGGTTAATTTCTATGGTTAATGAAACGTCATATTCAAACAGTGAGATACCGTAAGATAATTTCCCGTTATCGGCATTAATTTTATGACTGACGATACCAAAAAATGTGAGCTTACATTTCTTTAGTGCCATGAGTTTTATTGAAATTATAAACCCAATTACCCTATACATGGTTGTATAGCTGAAGCATAAAACTGAAAATTCCCCCAAAATACTCCTAAACATTAAAATCCAAATTGAATTCATCGTTCTATCATTCTAGCTACATAACTGATTAGACCAGACCCTTGGTCGATAGAACCTAACTAATAGCACCAACTTTATCACCATCTGGTATCTAAGTACAAAAGATTGACCAATAAGGAAAGCGACAAAAGTTTTATATTTGATTTGGTACAGAAAATAATTTCCCCACTTAATCTCATCAGTTGTATAAACCTTATACATGCAAGTTGAAAAAAACGAACATCACACTTAGCTAAATGCTTCAATATTACAAAGAATAAACTGTCAAATAAATAAACATATATCGTCTTATGAGATTGTATTATAAGTGATTGCAATAAAGTTTGCTCAAAGACGGACCTGTATACAAAAGAATTTTCCCAATTAAGTAACCAATAAGAGAATAAAAGAAAACTTAAAGCTGATTAGAGTGTGCATAACTTTACTTGAAAACAACTCACTTTAGATGTCCCATAGTTCGTTATAGCATCATTCAATATATTTACTTCAAGTTTTTGTTCGATAACTAAACAGACAGCCTTGGTTACAGGAAACATGAGTAATATACACAATTTACCACACCTTAAATAATATTTTGATATCTGGATGGGCAGGAATCTGCAATAACTTAGCCATCTTTAAAACATTTTCCTTAAACTCATCACTGTTAGCTAAGAGGATTAGAAAAGAGAAACAACACTAAGCCACCATCTATGTTATTAAAAGCGTTCGTGGAAATAATAGGGTTCTCAGATATACTGCTGTGCTGAGTATTTCTAGCTATAGGTAAAATATAATGACATCATAGTACAAATGATTACATGAGTTGTATTCCAATAGTAGTGCTTTACTAAGAAGCCAATCCAACATAGCCCAAGAATTAGATTCATTAAAAGGGCACTTTACTGCCTGCAGATACTAAAAGAAATGAATTAGGGAAATGAACTGAAGGCACAAACCTTATTTAAATAGCTTGTCCATTCCAAAGATTGTACGTCACGCAACCTAGATTCAGCAGGAAGAGCTCGAATAAGCCTATCCTCCAGCCATACGATCACATTGCGTACACTCGCCAAATCTTTTGTAATACTAATTAAACAAATGGATTTTATGGCGAAAACCTGAAACATCGAAAACATCGTACACCGGATAGTTGACAGAATGAAGCTTGAAACGCAATCGTTCATTAGCCAGCATTGTAATAATCCGACGAGGGAGAAAAATATGAAGGAAATCAGACGAAGCAATCAAAAGTCTGGTGACCTAAAAAGAGAGAAGATAAACATGAATTGGTCTAATATATAATCGTAAGCATATAACAAATTGTTGCCTAAATTAACCACCAATTTTCTGTACAAAATAAGACTGATAAGTAACTTACGACGACAGCTGTATTTGGAGACGCTGACCAAAACAGTCTCCCAACCACTTTGATCAACGAAACAAGCATATTTGGGATGTGATTCACCCTCTCATGATGTAAAATATTGCCTCACGACTGATCTGAATCGATGTCTGGGTTAGTGGTATGCAGCGAAGTGGTTGAGAGCGCCGGTCATTTCACTTATCTTGAAAAGACTTAGTAGATGAACGCCCGAAGAAAGTTTGGACTATTCAAAACTCTTGTTTAACTCTTGTCACTAGTGAAGTATACGAGATATTCGTCTATCAAGCAAAGAACGAGCATATTTTAGAGCAGTTTGGCCTGTTTCAATTTACGGCTGCAAAGTAGTTTTAGGAATGGAAAACGTTTATACGTTATTAATGTTTGGTTATGGATGTCTTTGAAGCACTGTTTATGAAATTTGGGGCCACTGAGTAAGCGATTCTGATATTAGATACACAGTGGTAGACAGGAGAAGCACGGTGACTGATCAAGAACCGGATTGTCAACAAATAAGGTGAGTGGGACTTGTATTACGTATACTCAGCTACCACGTTGCGAAATGACGGCTAGTATAAGAGTAAGCTACAAAACAGCTAGAGGGCAACCAGAAAACGTGACATTGGTCCATGAAATCAACCAACTGTCATTTCTGATTGAATCTCGAGCTTCACAATCGTCTTGCGCGTTCTATCTATAGAATTCATTCTTCTGGAAGAATACTGCCTATGCTCAATCCTTCTGTACAGAATATATAAATTGTGTAACTTACATATACTTCATTGGCATCTCACATTGGCGAGACCGTATGTTTTGAAGTCTGTGGTGTTAATGACTGACTAAACCGTGGTGTTCTTAATATCCAAACTACGAATTCTTAAAAATACCGAATGACTCAGTCATATGCACGACTACTATATATGTAGTAACAACAACTATAACCGAAACCCAACCCAGTATCCATGGGAGAACAATTATGACACATTTCCTCACCGATTACATCTAGATTCCTGAATATGTAATGTGGATATAAAGAAGTTTAATCCCGATTGGTTACTCACATAGCTTATGTTTACTGACTGCAAGTATGAACTTCTAAGTTAGTAATACAAATTGCGAGAAATCTAAAACTGAAATGTGAAAATGCCAGAAACAGAAAAACGAAGAAATGAAGTGGCGCACCTTTTAGTTTGTTGCATTCAATATTAAATGAAAAATACTATAGTCAAGCTATGCTAACGACTAGCTTAACAACATCGATGCATGCTGTGATTATCTTTATGTTGCTGAAATCACAGTGTACCTGTGTGTTCTGATACATACTTACAGTTCCCATAGACAGTTAAATTGTGAATTATACTTTCAACTTCTCTTGCATTCGCAGAGTCAATGAAACGGTATTAAAATGGTACCAGATTATCTCCCAAAATAATGTATCTATAATGTAGAAGGATGATCACAAAATCCTGAATTTTTGACGCCAGGTCAACACCAATGAAGACGTATTGTGTTGCATAGTTAGCACTTTATCATTGTCTTATTGTAAGATTTGTATTAACCGATGATTCTTTGGTACTTGATTGTGCACTTATTGGAAATTACGAATGTGAAACGTTTATTTGTGCTCATCTAGTTTTGTCTGCCTTAAAGTGTATTATTTCGGGGATTCGTAGTTAGCATGTCAATTCGCATACTTCTAAATTCTATGTGCGTGCTACAGGAAGACCACATAATCTGAACACTAGCTCTTGTCGAAGTTTTTGTTGCATTGGTACTACTGCTTTACTTGTACAGACTAAAATTTAGTTCTTTGTTGCACATACGTCGATTATGTAGTGTATCTGTTCGTCTTACGTCCTGCCAACTGAAATATTTGTGCATTATAGCTGTTTAGAGTAGCGAGAAGAATATCAAATATAAGTATTGAAGATGTCACAGGTATTTTGAGTTTAACATTGCTTTAAACAATAACACCTACTACTATGAATCGTATCCACTGAGTGAAATCAAAAGACAGAAGCGAGGAGGTTCGGAGATATATTTGATGCCCTATCAATATATCGCGGATCGTCTGATGTAATCTGGCTAGCGATTGCAGTAGTTGTTGAGCACGGAGTTCTCACTCGTGATTTGGTGTGGATGCATAACCAGGCGCCTTCAGTTAGGTGAGTTCATTAAAACTAATGTGGTCAGCACCCAATGTCGAAGACTTACAGAGCTATTTATTTTGGGGATTTATTTATCGCTACAGTACGTGAGGCAGTGGAATATCACTGAGCTCTGGTGAAATCATCCAGGAGATTGGTCACTGAATGTCAAACCGATCATCGATCTCCGTCAGGGTCAAGGATGACCAATGCGCATCAGTTCATTTAACGCCATGGATTTGACCCTGCGGTGGTGGTCGTACTACCTTCTATGAAACGATTCTTATTATTATGTCTGAGGAGTTATTCTGTACACGAAAAGTGCCCTAACCATAAGATTAGCTGAGGCAGTAGCACATGTTTCAGGGACATGTGAACTGGTGAGATGTAAGTTGAAATGCCGACGGCAAGATATTGAATTAGTTGTAGTTTATCGCAGTCCAGAATGTGTAGCAGATGATTTTAGCCTAAGTAAACTTTAGTCCTGGTGTAACAACTGTGCAAGTCTTGTAGTAGGCGACTTTAATGCACCATATATAAACTGGGTCGTTTGACTGCAAACTGTTAGAAACCTCGACTGGACTAGCATTATTCCAACACATTGGAGATCCCACAAGATACGACTTAAGGAACTCTTCCTCTCTTTTAGATTTAGTCTTCACACACGGTGATGACGTTGGTTAAATGACTTTTATCCCACCCCTAGGGAGAAGTGACCATGCAGTCATCTTATTTAAATTCATGGCTGAGATTGCCTGTCAAACAGTTGCGCCGGCTCGATCTAACATATGGAAGGCAGATATGGAGGTAATTAACTCCGCAGCATCGGCTGAAAACTGGGAAATTGACTCAAAAGCATCAGTACAAGAGGCATGGACTATATTCAGGCAGTTATACAATCGGGTAACTCAACCATACATAACCTGGACTGTCCCAAAGAAAAAGAAGCACAGACATCCCTGGATAGGCCAGGATATTCGACATTTACCAAGACAAAAGAAGAAATACTGGGACGTTGCCATCCGCCTTGGCACAGCAGGTACGATGGATGGCGGGATTCTAATCCTGTACTCACCCTGGATGGTGAGCAGATAGAAATAGTCGAGAAGTTCGTGTATCTGGGTAGCTGCATAAGTGCTGGTGGGGGTGTGAGTGATGAGATCAATGCACGTATAGTGAAAGCCAGAGCGGCTTATGCTAATCTGGGCCACCTTTGGCGCCTTCGTGATGTTAGTCTGGCTGTAAAAGGTCGGATCTACAACGCGTCGGTGAGGGCAGTTTTGCTCTATACTTGTGAAACCTGGTCTCTTCGAGTTGAGGACGTTAGACGACTCTCTGTGTTCGATCATCGCTGTCTCCGAAGGATTGCTGACATTCAGTGGCAACACCATGTCAGCAATGCAGAGGTTCGGCATCGTGTGTTCGGGCACAGAGATGATAATTCAATTGGTGTCACCATCTTGAAACACCGACTTCGGTGGCTTGGACATGTTCTACGAATGTCGTCCCAGAGAATTCCACGTCGTGCATTATTTGCCGACTGTGGGACTGGTTGGAAGAAGCGGAGAGGTGGTCAGTGCATGACATGGTGTCGTGGCATGAAAGAAAGCTGCAAAGGACTGGCTTCTGTCGGTCCTTCACGACTCCCTGGTTGGGGTCCGAGTGATGGTGCAACAAAGTGGCTAGAGACGTTATCAGATATGGCTCAGAATAGAAGCCAGTGGTGATCCTGCTGTAATCTTCTTTTACTTTCTTCATAAGAAGTGGTTGTGTCTCCCTTACCTGAAAGATTTCTTCCGATTGTACCTTTGCGTTCCCTCATTACTACCACACTACCTTACACCAATCTCTTCGGTATTTTTCTCTTTTTTTTGCGCTCCTTAGCTCTTTTTTTTCTATTTCTCTTCGAATTCTCATTGTTTTGTGTGGCGCATATATATTGGCGCTCTCTTGTACCAATATTCATGTGTTCAAAAAAACAAAATAAATAAATCAATTTTGTATCTACATATTACTTGTTCTTTTTATATTCGCTTCTATATTCTTTTTACGTTATAATGATTTATTGCTACCGCTCATTTTACATATTTATCTGGTCTTTACTTAATTAATCGTGAGGTTTTTATAGATTTGTTCGACGATGTTACCCTACATTCTCAAATTTACATTAATTTATTCATTTCTAAAGAAATGGATTTAACACTACTTAGTTTTTACCAGAGTGAAAGGCACGACATTACGCTTTAGCTTATTCTGTATGAAATTTGTTTAGTCTTCTCTCGTTCGAACGGAAAGCGTGCGTCGATGATAGTTTTACAACTAATAACACTAACGATAGTGTGGACATGATCTGTGATAATTTAGATTTTTTTGTGACAAACACTCAAAATAAGAATCTGGGTAATACACCAGTTTCGACAGATTATATAATCATAAAAATGTGTGAGTTTTAAGTATTTTGTCTATTGGTTTCATTTGCTCAGACTTGATCTAAATAACATACGTCAACGTGGATGAATTATCGTAGCTGCATCTATGAAGGGCCAGAAGTATATACCATGCCCAATTGTACAATATCGGAAGCAATCCACAAGTTGTCCACCTTATATAGCTGCTTCGGAGTTCTAGAGACTTTAGTAACTGATAATGCCTCGCAATTCATCGCAGAATCGTTTAAGTATTTCTGTAGCGCAAGTGGAATTACTCATCTTTGTTCTCCGCCCTGTCATCCTCAATCGAACGGACAAGCAGAACGTTTTGTGGACACCTTCAAACGAGCACTAATAAAAGGAGGAGGCAAAGAGACAACTAGACAGGTAATCACAAAATTTTTAACATCCTACAGAACCACTCTAAACCCAAAGGTTCCGGATGGTAAGTCTACTGCTGAAGTCCTGTTCGGAAAGTGTATAAGGACCGTTTTCAACGCCATGTTGCCGTCCAAATTGGTGGATGGGCACAGTCACAATCCAAATATCCGTAGCTTTAATGTTGGCTTCGAAGTTTTCGTTAAATCCTACCTCGTGAAGAACCGACGAGAGCCAGGATTAATTGTACGAAAATTGGAGAATGTTTTGTACGGAGTTCGAGGAACTTTTGGAACATGTATACGACATACGAATCAAATCCATAAGGACAACAGAACGATGCAGACTCAAAATAACCCGTCGGATCTCTCGTTAGAGTTAATCTTAGACACGTCAAGGTTGCATATGCCCAAGGACACTGAAAAGAAGCCTCGGACAAGGAAGACAACAAGAATGAGGAGACGCCGTCGCAACCCAGTTGTCAAACTACGGAGAACTGTAACTAAATCTCCAGAGGCCCTAAATCAGCCAAAGAATTCTAGCCAATTAGAACACGATGGAGCTTTTTAGAATATGAACGTGGCATGCTACTACTGGTCAGTAGCATTATATATCTCTTAGCAGATTGGCCAAAACATCTTTAAATACCCGTGTTCTCTATACGAGAATGAACCTCGGAGTAAAGTGCTTTTCGCTTATTTTGCGCCTCTTCTCTCGTGTTCAGGTCGCTGCGTAGTTCTAGCTTGCGGGTTACCAGAATAGCTAGGGAACGGAATGGAGCGTTCAAATTTACAAGACTTATCAGAACCTTTGCTTTTTACTCCGTTATTTGATAAAGACTAGGTTATTATTTTTTTAAACGTATTCCCAGCAGTGCACATTTGGTTGTAAGCGGCAACTAATGCAAATGTTTAACTTACAATCGCCGACAACAAATGTATCTCAACAAATACTGCCAACGTTTGTGTAGTATGTTAATCAATGAAAAATCATAAAATTACATTACATTTTTACATAAATAGTTCCACGTATTTCACTCTAATTTTCTTCATTTTCAGCTTGAACGATATTGTGAAACACAATCAAGGATTTTCAGAAACGTACCAATGTAAGAGTGGTTTGATATTGAATCTTGTGCGCAAATGTAGTCTTTAAAAGAAAACATTAGCCGTGTGCGTGTATGTGCGCAGAAATCTTCGTTTGTCTGTTTAATCGGTTCTGTAATTAGAACTATTGTAATGCCTCACTCTAACTTTTTAGTTAATAAACATTTTAATACTGTAAGTTGTTGTGACCTCGTCTCCGGCTTTTTATCACGTAAGTTATTCGCCAATCAAATGTGGTTTATTCAATC